GGTCTCCTCCTCCAAGCTGGTCCAAAAGGACTGGCTACTTGAGCTCCCCACCAAAGCACACCCCCAGGCTCTCCAGCAGCCCCTACTCCCTCTGCCCCTGGCTGGCTGCCCTCCCCGACTGGCATAGACTGGAATCTCCAAGCTACAGATGATTTCTGAGCTGGAATAGGAGGAAGTATCAGGCCCAATGCCCCCTTCCCTGTGGGTATCCATGGAAGGGAGGACACCAAAGAAATGGGTGTCTCTGAATCTTCTGTTGCAGTCCTGAGGGAAACCCTGGAAGGCTCACGGCAAAAGTGTGGGCAGTGCCATGAGGCAGCGGGCTTGGGTCTGTGACTTCCCCATAAAATGGTCCGGCACTCCTCTTAAGGAGCAAATGGAAGGATGCCAAAGAGAAGGCACAAAATATGTTCTGTGTGCCAGGTACATGTACACGTGGGCCCTTTTCTTGCACAGTTATCACAACTCGCCAGCAAAGTCAGCATAATCATCTCAGATGTGGAAACAGAAGCTCAGAGAAGCTGAGCGACTTGCCAGGGCCACTCAGCAGGCAGGTGAGGATGCTGGCACCAGAGCCTCTCCCCAGCCTCACACTGTGTTCATAGCTTTGCTTTTGTCTCTCCCCAGAGAACAGTCTGGAGTCCCCGGACAATAGTTCTTCTTCAATCATTGAAGAAAAAAAGGAGAAACATGGGAAAAAAGGTAAACGTAACCCTCATGGTGGGAGTCAAACATCTCCCCTCGTCGACGTAGTCTCCAGTGTCAGTGGCAAAGGGAAATGCATTACTGAGACCTGAAATAATAGTAACATGAACAAAGTAGGATTTGTTTTTCCTCAAGTAATGGGAAATATGGGAGGCGGTCCAGAACTCCATGAGGCTCTACAAACAGCAGTTCTAAGAAATCACTCAGGTGACCGGTTTCCAAGTCTTTCTGCTCTACCAATTTTAGCCTTAGGGTTTTCAACTGCAAAGTTATCGTGCGGTCACAAAATGGCTGCTGAAGCTCCGGGCCATCACATCAGAGTTCAGACAGGGAGAAGGGATAAAGGGAAGAGCAAAACTGCCCACCAGCCAACTCAGCCCTCCCTGGAAAAAGAGCCTTCCCAGAAGCCCCACCCAGCAATTTCTGTCTACATTCCATAGTCTAGAAATTTGTCATGTGGCCATCAGTATCTGTAAGGAGGCTGAGAAGTGTAACTGTTCAACGGGCACATGGCTGCCACCTGTTAAGAAGAGGAAGGGTAGGCAGCCAGCTGCTCATACTGCTTCCTCTGAGCCCCTGCATTCCTGCTCTGCCCCCAGGCTTGCTAGCCAGTCTGATCCTTCTCCAGAGGGGCGCAGATGTGAGCATGTTCCCTGAGCCTATCTCTCCCAGGCTGAGTCCCCTCTTGTCAAGCCTCCCTGCCTTGTGTTCCTTCTTGCTTTTAATTATGACAATCCAAACCTGCCCAGAAGCAGAGACTAAAATGCAGTGAATGCAGGTGCCCATCACCAGACTGGACAGTAAAGATTTGGCCACATTTGTTGCTTTTTTTTTCTTTTTTTGTCTTTGCCAGAATATTTTTTTAATTTTAATTTTTAAATTTTAATTATAGTGTAGTTAACATACAGTGTTATATTAGTTTCAGGTGTACAATATAGTGAGTCAGCACTTCCATACATCACCCTGTGCTCATCATAAGTGCCCTCCTTAATCCCCATTACCTATTTCACCCATTCCCCCATCCCTCCCCTCTGTCCATCAGTGTGTTCTCCATAGTTAAGAACTTGTTTCTTAGTTTGCCTCCTTTTCTCCCCCTTTGTTCATCTGTTTTATTTCTTCAATTCCACATATGAGTGAAATCATATGGTATTTCTTTCTATGACTGACTTATTTCGTTTAGCATAATACTTTTTAGCTCCATCCACATTGTTGCAAATGGCAAGATTTCCTTCTTTTTATGGCTAAGTAATATTCCAGTGTGTGTGTGTATGTGTGTGTGTGTGTGTGTGTGTGTCTGTGTGTATCATGTCTTCCTTATCCATTCATCTATCAATGCACACAGTTGGGTTGCTTCCAGACTTTGCCAGAATATTTTATAGTAAAATCCGGGCATGTTATTTCATCCTTCTATCCCACAATATTCATTTTTCAAAAATAGGGATGTTTCCCTGCAAGGCCACAATGAAGTCTCCCAATTATCTCAGAAATGCCTTCCTATAGAATATTTGTTCTAATTAGGATTCAAATGAGATCTGATCATCTTCACTCTCTTTAAATCTAGCAGAGTCCCTCCCCCATGTCCTTTGTCCTTTCATTTTCTGTGTCTTGACTTACTGAGAAATGGTGTTAATTATCCTGTAGAATGTCCCCCATTCTGTATGTGTCTGTTTGCCTCCTGGTCATTGTCATTGTTATTGAAACTGTTCCTCTGTTCCTCATATTTCCTTTAATTGGAAATAACCCTACATGCTTGATATTCCATTTTGTCCATGAGAATCCTTCCTACCACCTCTCACAAGAAACTCATGCACCCAGCTGTCTTGATGGTGGCCATGCCACGCTCAGTGGGTTCAGGTAGTGACCGCCTGGCCCTCTGTCAGATTCCCATCAGCCATTCACCCAACAGCTTCTTCTACCCATGGATGCCTATGCTTAAATTGACTGCTACATTAAGGGTGAGGAGTCTGGGTTTGGGTTTGGTTTGGTTTCTTCTCTAAGGTAGAATTCATATAAGGTGAAATGTACAAATCTTAGTATACAGTTTGATAAGTTTCAATAAATGTATACAACTTTGTAGCTTCCACCCCATTCACCATCTAGAACATTTCCGTCTGCCCAGACATTCCCTTTCCCCCAGAGACAGCATTGTTCCGCTATCATCAGAGAATCACTTTATCCATTCCCAAACTTGTATAAATGGAGTCACATTCTGTGCTCTTGCAGTTCTGATCCTGTTCACTCAGCATCACATCTGTGGAATGCCAGTCACAGGACTCCCTTCTTTGTTGTGGCCGTGTGTATCCTATTGTGTGCATATGTCAACAGTGTATTATTCTTTCTGGAGTGGATGGACATTTGGGTTGTTTCTGGGTTTTCGATATTACAAATAATACTGCAGTGAACATTCTTGTACATGCCATTTAGGGAAAGAAGCACTCATTTCTCCTGGGTGTATATGAAGGAGTGGAACTGCTGGTAGTATGTTTAACCCTAGTAGATACCAATGAGTTTTCCAGAACAATTGTACCACCAACAGGTGTGAGCATTCCAGATGCCTCACATCCTCTCCAACAGTTGGCACACTGTCAATGCTTTTACTATTACCTGGCCTTCTGGATATGTATTAGCATCTCATATTCCCTGTGACCAATGAGGTGATTACCTTTCTATACGTTCACTGATGACTCTGTGTTATAAAGTGCCTGTCCCTGCCTCTGCTCACTTTTCTATTGGGTTGTCCTTTTGTTTTAATGATTTCTAGGAGCTCTTTACATATTCTGGAAACAAATCATTCACCAGTTCTAAGTATGCAAATGCCTTCTCTCACTTGGTAGATTGCTTTTTCCTTTTACCAATCATTTTCATATGGTTGGTACTTTTTGTGTCCTGGCCATGAAGATACTGCATCTTATACAAGTTTTGCGTTCACTTTACAATCAGACCTACAAACTGTCTCTAATCTAATTGTAACTACTTTGTAGATTCTTTGGATTTTCTCCTCTACAATCACATCACCTTGAGATAACATTATTTGCCCTCCCTTTCCAATCCTGTACTTTTTATTTCTTTTTCTTGCCTAACTACAACATTGCAAAGAAGTGCAAAGATAGGTATCCATGCCTTGTTCCTGATCCTGGAGGGGAAACATGCAATATTCCCCTAGAAGTTTCTTATAGATACCTGTACTTATGTCCTACGGTTGCTGTCACAAACTCAGTGGCTTAAAGCAACACAAATATATTATCTTACAGTTCTGGAGTCAGAAGTCTGAAATGAATCTTACAGAACTCTCGAATCAAGGGGTCCACAAGGCTGTGTTCCTTCCGAAAGCTCCAGGGGAGAATCTGCTTCCTTGACTTTTCCAGCTTAGAGGTGCCCGTGTCCTTGGCTCCTGGCCCCTTCCTCCGTCTCCAAAGCCAGCAGCACAGCCTGCTCCAGTTTCTGTGACGTCACTCCAACCTCTGCTTCTGTTGTCACACCTGTTCCTCCTGCTTCTGGCCCTCCTGCCTCCATCTTAGAAGGACCCTTGTGATTACATCAGGCCCCTCTGTCTAATCCAGGACCATCTTCCATCTCGAGGTCCTTCACTTCATCCCATCTGCAAAATCCCCTTTATAAAGGAATCTAGGCACAGGTTTGGGGTTTAGGGCATGGCCATCTTTGGGGGCCATTGCTGAGCTCACCACACTTCCCTCTATCAGATTGGGAAGCCCCCTCCTTTTCCTAGGTTGCCACGACTATGATTTAAAATCAGTTTTGGGGGCACCTGGGTGGCTCAGATGGTTAAGCGTCTGCCTTCGGCTCAGGTCGTGATCCCGGGGTCCTGGGATCGAGTCCCACATCGGGCTCCCTGCTCCTTGGGAGCCTGCTTCTCCCTCTGCCTCTCTCTCTCCCTCTGTCTCTCATGAATAAATAAATAAAATCTTTTAAAAAAAGTATTTTAAAATCAGTTTTGGATTGTATCAAATACTTTTACTGCATCCCTTGAAAAGATCATATCATTTTCTCCCTCATTCTGTTAATGGGGTATATTATATTGATTGCTTTCTAAATGTGAAACCAACTTGGCATTTCTGGAATGATCTGCTTCAAATGATGGCCAGTCTTGGTTGTAGGCTCATCTTCCCATTAACATATTTCCATTCAGAAACATTCCCTACTCACCGGACTGCAAATGCGGTTTCTGTTTTGGGAAGCCAGTCTCCACATTGTTACTTATAGGTTGAGCGGCTTACCTCTCTGTCCCTCTGTTCCTCCTCACCGGGAGTAACAACAATCCCCACCTCAGGGCCGTTATGAACGTTCAGTCAGGCAAAGTCCGTGGTCTGGCCGTGGTAAGTGCTCATTCTTGTTAACTAGCATAATTAATCTCTTCGATGGGGACATGGGACATGCAGCCCACGCATGCTACCGGCACGTAGTTTGGGGACATCAAGACTAACTTTTCCCTGCCGCTCTCACCCAAGCTCAGTCCTCACTATTCTGAATTTAGGGGCCCTGCCTGGGGTTGCTGGACAAGCACAGGGAGTGAGAGTGGGATGACGACATGAGGAGGGGGCAAGCCGTGGCACTTCTGTCCAGACCTCCCAGGCCCCCATTTTTGCGCCCAGAGCCGTCACTTCCCGAATACCTTCCTTCCCACACCCCAGCGTGGTTGAGCCATACTTCCCCACTTCACCCCATCCCTACCCGCCCCTTTGTCTCTTCCAACTTTCCTTGGCAGCTCCCTCCTTCCCCGCCCCAAGTCATCCCTTCTTGTCCAGAGCTGTGTGCAATCTCTGAAGGTACATCACATCATTTCTGGGGTATGGGGTTGGCCTGGTGGGGGAGGCAAGCCGTGTACCCAGGTCACCATTCGCACCTGCCTCCCCAGCCTCCCGATGCGGACACAGAGGCCCTTTGGCAGTCTCTGCTGGAGCGTATCAGCAGCAAAGTCAGTGTGTAAAAAAAAGTCATGATTAGGCACGGGACGAGAGTCTAAGCTTCAAACCACCCCGCACAAGCCCCGTGCCACTTCTGTCCCTCCTGTCCCCAGGTCCCTCATGGTCCTGGGGTCAGTACCACCCCTGTGACCTCTTCCTGTCTTGGGCCACCTCCTTCCGCATGCTCCCCTCTCCAGAAGCCAGGCTGAGACCTGCTGGAGGCCCCTGCGGCCTTCCTCCCCTCAGCAGGACCCAGGAGTAGATCATCTTTCTTTACTCTTCTCACTGAGATTCGTAAACTATTTTGACAGGATTTAATTCTTAGAGAAAAGTTGAAAGAATAGTACAGAGATGTCACAGACTTGGAGATTTTCCACCCCCCTCTGCATGATGGGTGCAGGCAAAGCATCCTGGCGGGACCATCGGAGTGACTGCTGGGTCGCACTGGCCAGAGAAGGCCCACCCCTCTCACTTCTGCTCTAGTTCACTCTGAAGGCCTGAGCAGGATGGAGTCGGCCAGCTTCCCTACTCTTGGTCATTAATAAGTACGGATCTTGTGCGGAGGTATTTTGAGACCCTCGGCGTATAACTTCAAATCCCCTTCACGGGGAATTTTCACTGGTGAGGGTGTAAAATGGGACAGACCGCCAGGAAGGCAGGTCAGCGTAAGACTCTGAAGCTTGGAAATGCTCACAGCGCCTGGCCCCTGTTCTCCCTTTGGAAAATCAATTGCCAAGAGCCAGCCCATGGTGGCGCCCTGGAGAAGCCATGCCTTACTGCACCCCATTATAATTGCGTACAGGGCTTGCAAAGAATTAGTAATTTCGCAGGCATTTGCTGAAGGTGTAGTGTTTTGGTTTTTTTTAAGATGTGAAATTATTAAAAATAGGTGTTGGAAATTACTAGAAGAAAATACCCCCAGAATGTCACCAGCAGTTGTTTCAAAGTGGGGGAGTTGTTATCATACTCTTTTATTTCCAAGAATTTTTTGTTTTGTTTTGTTCTGTCTTACAACGAACCCCTTTTCCTCTAAATCAAGGATAAGGGGAGAAGGCATCCATATTTTTAAGCCCTTAGTCTGGTGTCTCCTGGGTTCTGTCCCTGCCGAGCTGAGCAGCAAGATCCTCTTCCTTACCCACAGGGGTAGGGGGAGCAGCAGAGCCGGGGTCCTTGGCAGCCCCCATCTCCCAAATTCCTGCCTGACCCCCACCGCCTAGGCCTCGGGTGTTTTGCCTCACTTGCCCACAAACTCAGCCTTCCCCTGGGAGGCTCCTGGGGAATCCTGCAGACAAGGCATGTTCACCCAGTGTGCCCACTGCCCACTACCCTCTGCAGGCAGGTGCCTCTGCTCTGGACTGGGCTGACCTCCCACCAGCTGGCCGCATCACCTCCCCCCTCTTGCTTCTCTCCTCTAAGGAATAGGGGTTCCTGAGACTTTAAATGAGAGGGGCCAGAGGTCTGAGACACAGGTGGGGCTGTGTTCACCAGGTCTCTTTCAGATGCCAGGGTCAGAAGCCCACATCCAACTAGATTAAACCAGACAGGTCAGTTTATGGAGTTGGAAGGTCCAGGATTGGACTTCAGGCACAGCTGGATCCAAGAGAACATTTGCCACTAGCTTGTGCTTTCGAGTTCTTCATGCTGGGCTGGGAGGGCACCAGGACTCCCGAGGCGCAGGCCACCATTTGGAAGAGCTGGCTCATCTCCCCAATGAGGCATCTCCCTCTCCAGTGTCCGTGATTACTCCTGACCGCTCAGCAAATCCTTTTCACATGTCTGGAGATGCGGATTTCTTCTTGCTCAGAGAACAGGAGCGGAATAAGTCTCAAGCAGTGAGTATCTAGGACTGGTCTGTCCACAACTCTTCCCTCCCTCACACATGCAGAGCCAGATTGCCCTTCTCAGAAGAGTACTTTCTTTGGGTCACTCTCTCACTCTAGAATAGTCAATGCCTATTTTGTTAAAGATTTTGTTTATTTATTTAGAGAGAGTGCAAGTGGCGGGGCAGAGGGAGAAGGAGAGAAAGAAACTCAAGCAGACTCTAAGTTGAGCACAGAGCCTGATGGGGGCTCCATCTCACGACCCTGAGATCACGACTTGAGCTGAAATCAAGAGTCAGACACTTAACTGACTGGGCCACCCAGGCGCCCCAGTGGCTCACCGTTTTAAAAAAAATCAATTAAAAAACCTGACTAGCTCTCCAGTATCTGATCTGTCCCACTGTTCCTACACAGTTTTATCCCTACTCTTCCTGAGTCTTGTCAGAGTGGGCTGTTGGAAGCTGCTGTGGCCTAGCCTCAGCACCAGGCTTTGCTTCTGCTTCTCTTGTATGAGAGGCCATCCGCTCCTGAGACTCTCTCTGTCCTGCAAGGCCCATCTCAGACCTCAGGGACTCTCACACCTCCCCCAGGAGACCACAGCCCTTGCAACTGTTCCAGCTGTGCACAGTCCCCCTCGTTGGAATTCTTGGAGGCCAGATACACACACGACCAAGCACACATGCGCACACACAGACACGCATGCCCCCTCAGCAATACATGGGAGTCCTGGAGCCAGCCCCAACCCCTAGCCCATGCCTTGTCTGCACCCCAGCGTAGTCTGTCTTGCCTCCCCATCCACGAGCCCATCTGTCCATTCCCACCCCCTGCGGCATGGCCGGAGCAAGCAAGCATCCCTGCAGCCAGGCTCAGGGAGGACTCACCCGGGAGCATCTTCACTGAGAAGTGGTCAGCACGGGCCGTGTTTCTGGGACACACTCTCGGGGGCAAAGGCATGGCCAAGTGTGTTCCAGGCTCCTTTCTGCGCTGACTCTGTCTGCCCCAACTCAGGGCTCAGTATCTGGGATTCCTTGGAGAAGTGGTTCCCACTGAGACCCAACCAGTGAACAAAGACACATAAGGAAATGCACATTTTCCAGCCCCACCCCAGACCTCCCCACTAGAAGCTCTGGGTGGCCCACCATGAGTGTTTTCCCCACCTTACTGCCATGCTGTGCACCCCCTCATGCCCTGGAAGGAGGCACTCACACAAAGCCATACTGAGCAACACACACTTCTCAGAGGCCTCTAAGCGGGGAAACACGGCAGACACACACAAAACTTTCTCTGACGTTGACTTAAGAGAACTTTCTCTTTCTCCAGTGTAGGATTGGATTTTCTTCTCCCAGCCTGGCCCTGCTTCCAGGGTCGCCTCTGCCTTCTTAAATCAAACAAAACTGATACCCCTCCCCACACCCCAGCAGAACCCCCCAGTCTCACATTGACCCCAAGCAGCTGCCCAATTTCTTTTAAGCACAGACCTTCTGCCATTGGGATTCTAGCAGGTGGTATTTCCCCCACTTTGTTCTTCTACACAGACATGCAAGCTAGTGGCCTCAGGCTGAATCCCCTCACAGACGAGGTTTCCCTAAACAGCCTTCTTTAGAGGCTGAATGGGTTGTTTCACTTGGCAGGGCCAGGAGGAAATAGAAATGCCCCCAGGAAAGGCCAAATGAAGAGGATTCGTGAAGGCCTCTCTGATTCTGTGGGCTAGGGTGCCTAGCCGTGGAAGGATGGGGAAACCCCCAGGGCTTGGGCAGCTGGTGGGGCTGGACACCCCTGCAGCCAAAGACCTGAACTAGGCCTCAGGGAAGAAAAGCCCCCACCCCCACGCCATCCTGGGATTCTCCCAAGTGAAGGGCAGGGAAGGGGAGCAACCCTGAGGCAGACTGGAGGCCAGGCAGGGTGGGGAGGAGCTGGTGGGGGCAGATCCCCAGCAACCTGATCACTGCCAACACTGACTGCTGAGCTTGCAGATCAAACTCAGGATTTCAAGTTTCTTCTTTTTTTTTCTTAAGATTTTATTTATTTATTTATTTGAAATAGAGCCAGAGCGAGAGAGAGAGCATGAGCTGGGGTGAGGGGAGAGGCAGAGGGAGAGGGAGAGGGAGAAGCAAGCTCCCCACTGATCAGGGAACCCCACGAAGGGCTCGATCCCAGGACCCTGGGATCATGACCTGAGCCGAAGGCAGACCCTTAACTGACTGAGCCACCCAGGTGCCCCATGGATTTCGAGTTTCTTTTGGAAACTCGGAAGATCTAGTTTCCCTGAACCTCGGAGTGTCAGATTTAGCAAATCACAGTAAGTGTGAATTTCAGATAAAGGAGGAATCCTCTGTTAGTATGTCCCTGCACTATTGAATGCACATCTCACTGGGCATCCTGTACTTCACCTGGCGACCCCCCCTTCACCCCACTCTCTAGAAGCGCTTCCTGCCCACTTTCCTCTCGACCAGGGAGCTCTGCTTAGGGACCCCCCCGCCCCGGGCGCTCCCACAAGCACACACAGCTCCACAGCCTTCTCGGCGCGCAGCGAGTGCGCACCCCGGACCAGGTGCGCACCTCGGGGCCCCCGCTCCGCGAGTGCATTCCCTCAAGACCATGCGACCCTGGGACGTATGGTGACGCCCAGGGAAGGAGGCTCGTCCCAGGCTTGGTGGGGAGGGGGTAGAAATAGATGCTGACCCCGCCCGACTCCGCCTGGCCACGACCACCAGGAGCGGAAGCAGAAGACGACCCTGCAGGTGCACCAAAAGATGACGTACTCGTCCAAAGTGTCGGCCAAGCACAGCAGCCTGCGTCGGGAGCTGCAGCTGGAGGACGAGATGCAAGACCAGGAGATGCGCGCGGAGGCGGAGCGGCTGCGCGCCTTCCACGACAACACGGCGTGGAAGCTCCACATGACCAAAGGTGCCCCCTTTTCCGGGAGTCAGGTCTTGCCCTTCGTGCACTGGCAGTACTTTTAAATCGCTTGGAGAGTCAGGGCTGCGGTGCAATGGGGAAGGGGGAGGGGTCTTTTCTGTGTCTGATCCTGCCTCCGGCCGTCACACAGATTAATTCCAGACAGACTGCAAATCTAAAAGCCTTTGAATCCCAGTATTGCATGCATTCGGAACGTTACGGTGCCCGTGAACGCAGACTGCACACATGTAAAATATAGTCCCTTAACTTGACGGTAAAGGGTGTCAGTCTGGAACTAAGTTCCCCGAGTTCAGATCTCAGCTTCAGCATTGAGTGACCTTGCCATCCTGGGCCGGCTCTTCAACTCCTTTGCACAGCAGTTTCCTCTCCTGGCCAATGACAGTGCCGACCTCGTGGGTTGTGTGATTCAACGTCTTTTGATGCTACATATAATGAGAAGGAACTGTGTGTGGGGGTGTGTGTGAGCTGTTATTAATTTTATGACCCAGTAGGAAATCTTAAGTACTGAATATACATTAATATTCTACCAGCCCAGATGATAAAGTCCTGGAACCCAACTGGACTGCAGGTGTACTGAATGGGAATATTAATCAAAGAGACCCCCAGCCTCCACCCCTGACCGCATGGCGTGGTTTTGGGTGGAGAGCCCTGAGCTCACTTTGACACTTCTTGTGCTCTGCTCTGCAGAGAGCCACATGGTTCCACGGCCCTTTCCTAGGTTCCTGGCCTCTCCAAAGTCGGGGCGCTTCTAGGCCTTTCTCTCCAGAAAGAGAAGGGAAGGAGGCTCCCGTGGCCCTTAGCCCCAGCTGCATTGCCTCTCTGTTTGCCCTCCAGAAGGTGTTCCAGATGCCCACTTTAATTTCCTCCCACCTGGCTTAAACCCTGGTGTGTCGACTTAGCTCCTACCTAAATTGGATCCTGGGGGCTTAGAGTACCCCAAAGAGAGATCATGCTGCCGCATTTTTCTCTCACCACCCCAATGCAGGTCCTGGCCTAATAGGTCTTTTGTTAGGTCCAGCTGGATGAAATGTTCAGGGCGGGGGTGTCCAGAGTCTCACTCCAGGTGAGAAGAGTACTACAGCTAGAGAGGCTCAAGTCAGACATAGGAAAGGACTTCCCACCTGGCCCAGTCTCCAGCCAGGCAGAGTGTAATATATAAACAGAGCCTTCTCTCCTTTTGCTAGAGACAGAGCTCAATCTCCCAGAGTCCCTGTAATAACCTGGACCTCCCAGCAGAGCATATGCCAAGAGTGGCATCCTTGGCCAAGCTCGGGTCTCTCGCACTGCCCACCCCACCGCCCAGAGACCTCCCTCCTTTCTTTGCAGAAAGGAAGATGGAATCTGATAACATGGACAACTACCTTAATCAGAAGCGGCAGATGTTCCTTATCCAGGTTGGCCCAGCTGCAGTGCGCAGGGGGCCCGGGGAGGGGGCTCCCCCAGCCAGGAGTCTGACCCCCGCTCGGGTGGCCCTCAGCACGCCCTGCACAGGAAGCGGAGCGAGATCCAGCGGCTGGAGATGCTGGCGGCCAAGGAGGAGGCGCAGTTGGAGCAGGCTGAGAAGTCCCTGGAGAAGGACGCAGCCTTGTTCGACGAGTTTCTCCGGGAGAATGACCGCAGCTCCGTTCAGGCCCTGAGAGCGTGAGCCCTCGCGAAGGGGCAGCCCGCGCGCCGCCGCCCCCCACCCCCGTGCCCCCCCGGGGACTGTGCACCTGCGCCCAACCTGCCCAGCCCCCCTCCGCTCCCTCCCCAGACCCGGCCCCTGGCAGCTCCCCACCCCCACACGCCCCCTTTAACAGTCTGCTATTGGCTCCCGCCCCCACCCCCACTGCCAGGGCTGAGAAGGAGACCAAAGCAAAGGTGGAGAAGATCCTTGAGATACGCGACCTGACCACCCAGATCATGAACATCAAAAGGTGAGCTCAAAGGGCAAGCCTGCCGATCCTGGTCTGCTGCCTGGTCTGCTGCCGCTTCCCTCCGCCCCTCTCCCGTAGCCAAAGGGAGCCCCTGCGCAGCACAAACCTCATCGCCTCACCTCTCACACCTAAATAGCTTAGGGACTCAAAGCCCTTCAGGATGCAGCTGCCCATTTTTCAGATGAGGTGACAGAGGCCAAGAAGAGATTCAGTGACTTTTCCAAGGCCACACCAGGAGGCAGGGCTCACTTGGCACACAGAGAGGGTCCCCAGGGTCCACTGCAACTCCAAAGTCACGGACAGCTGTGACTGTGGAGGTGTGACCCACATTGGTCCCCAGCAGGGCAGTGTTCTCTCCCCAGCACAACAGTGCTGCTGGGCCTGTCCCCAGGAGAAGAAGGAGCATGCCAGGCTTGGCCAGGCTCCAGGGGCAGTCCCCTCTGCAGGGGTGTCCCAGGAGGCAGAACCTGACCTCACCAGCCCCTCCCCGGGTCTAGTGAAATCTCCAAATTTGAAGACACGCTGCAACATTACAAGATCTACAAGGACTTCCTATACAAGCTGTCGCCCAAGGAGTGGCTGGAAGGAAAGGAGAAGAAGCACCTGGATCTCCAAAAGACAAAGGAGGGCACCGAGCCCCCGAAAGAGAACATTTTATTCTCCACAATAGGGGACAAAGGTAGCAGAAAAGAGAAAGTGGGTGCCTGGGTCCATCTAGACCCTGGGTCCATCTAGACCCAGCTGGCAGTGGCCTTGGAGGGGTCCAGGCCACAGGCTGGGCCCCTTCCAGGCCTCGCAAAGCCCCAGCCAGAGGCAGCAGGTGCCCCTTAGGGCCTCGTGGCTCGGCCCACACATCCACTCGAGGAAGATAGGGCCTGCTCTAACTCAGACCCCAGGGGCTTTCCTCCCACACATGTCTTTTTGAAACAGGGGAAGAGGGTTGGGAGGGTCCTGGGGAACCCTGTGCCCTCAAGCAGTGTTGCTGAAGGTCCAGCCGAAGCCATCTGGAACCCTCCCTTGCTTCCTGTAGGACCAGGGAACAAGGGCAAAACAAGCTCCAGAGGTACGTGGCTGCCCCAAGCTGGAGGTGTCCTGCCCTGGGCTAGGGTGCATGGAAACAATTCCTCTGCTTCCTCCAGATGGGCAAGGCCCAAAGAAACCCTGGAAGTTCCCGCAGGTGGCCCGGCCAGGGCGGCTCCTATCCAGCACCATGAGCCTCCAGCATAGCAGCCAACCCAGCATGAGTAGTGGGCTAGACCCCAAAGGGTGAGTGGGTCTAGGGTAGGGCAATGAGGTGGCTGGGGCCTGGTAGGGAGTGCTCCCCAGTGGCTCCAGGCCAGGGGGCCCCAGGACGAGCCCAGCCTCTCCGGGAAGGGTGAGACCATGAGGAGGGGCTGTTCCCAACATGGAGGGTGTAGAGTCAGACTTAAGCACCAAAATCAAGATGTTTTCTAAACAGTTTTATTTCTGTCCAATTCAATCAACTTATGCCTGAGGTGGTCCACTCGGGTGCTAACAGGACAGTCAAATATAAACGGGTGCAGGCAGCCAAGTTGGGCGCATTGAACAGGAGGGCACATGCCGCCTGCCAAGGAGGCCAGAGCTCCAGAGCCTTTCGATAGAAGACAGAGTCTGGATTTTTACAAAAATTACCCAGATTTAAGTGTGACAGTTACTTTCAAATCTTGTTAAAAACGTGAGAGGGACAAACAGAAACCCCAAACAGATCCATGAGCCAATGCAGACCTATCCCCACCCCACTTAAAAACCCCTCTGCCTACAAGGCCAGAGCCTTACCCCCCACCTCTCCTTGCTGCTGGGTCACCCCCAGTTTCTCCTCCTCCCTCACTGAAAATTTGTTTAGTTTTAGGGGTTCCCTAAGTAATACATTCAGAAAACTCACAACTCTATAGAAAGGTACAAGCTGAGAAGACTTACAGCCCCCCCACCCCGTCCCGGTGCCCCTCCTCCCAGCCCCTCCCCACCCAGACTGTTGGGCCAAGAAGCCACAGGTGGTATTGCAGTGAGATTTGTTATCTACTGCAAACCCTTCCAGCCGTCTTGTGTGTGTTTTTTTTTTTTTAAAGATTGATTTATTTAGTTGACAGAGAGAGCATGTGCGTGTGAGCCAGGGCGGGGTCGGGCAGGGACAGAGGGAGAGGGAGAGAGAATCCTAAGCAGACTCCCCACTGAGCCTGAGCTCATGACCACACTCAACCCACTGAGCCACCCAGGTGCCCCTTTCCAGCCATTTTTATGTTAACAGTACATTGAACTGTATGAAGTTGCTGTTCCATAGCTCAAATGAATACCAGCATTTCCTCATGATTCAACCTAAATACAGGCAAAGGTGATTTTCTTACACCCATCCTTCCTTTTACTGGAGAGCTGACCCTGCACATCTCCCTGTCTGTCCGTTACCAGCACAGCCAGGGGTGCATCCGGAGGCAGTCCTTCTCAGCTTCCCCTGTCTAGCCCCTGGCCTCTTGGCGCTGTTGGGGCGATATTCATGATATGTGACTGTGGGGAGGGACACTGGCCACAGCCTCAGATGGCTATCAGGTGCTCGCCTTCACAGCGCCAGGGGCCACTGCCAGGGTGCTCACCTGTCCCATGAAATATGGACCCCACCCCCCTCGGGCCAGCATGGCAAGACTGGAGAGCCAAGGCAGGTCGCTGGCAGGTGGAGACCCAGGGAAGAAGAGCTGCTGCTGCAGCATGAGTCTGAAGGCAGTGAGCGGGCAGAATTCCCTCTTCTTTGTGGGAGGTCAATCTTTTGCTCTTCTGGCCTTCAACTGATTGGACGAGGCCCACCCACATTATGAAGGGTCATCTGCTTTACTCAAAGTCTACTGATTTGTTCATCTCATCTAATAAACATCTTCACAGAAACATCTAGAATAATGTTGGACCTAGGGAAGTTGACACGAAATCCACTGTCCCAGGGGACACGGGGCTGGGTCTGCTGGTCATGCAGAGTCGTTCCAGCGTCTGACAGCTCTCTCAGTCATCCTGGATGCTCCAGCTGAAGGCCCTGCCTCCTCCTGGGACCAGGTTCCAACTCCAGGGACTCTTGCCCCTTAGCCCCTCCAGCACCCGCCTCTAGGACCACTAAGCACCTCTTACACGCCTCTTGGATTTCTTCCTGCAGTGCCCAACACCTCACATATACCCACCAGTGTCCTCCAGCCATGACCAGTGACCACAAGACAGACCTCCTCCTGCCCCAGCCCCCCTGCCTCCCTCCCTGCTCCCTACCCTGTTGCTACTCCAGTCAGCCACCCCAAGCCCCACCACCTCCTGGAAGGCAGGTGAGAAAACTGGGGCATATGCCGCCAGGTGGAGTTGACGCCCTCAGGTCCAGAGCCTACAGGAGCTGGGAAGCTTCAGCAAAGCAGTGACATGATCAGACTCAGGTCTTCTTTTATTTTTTTCTCTCATACTGATGCTATCAAGAGATCACAAGATGAACAAATCTTAATTGAACAGCACTTGAATTTTTACACACATATGTACCCGTGCAATCACACCCAGGTCCAGACATAGAACATTTCCAATGTCCAGAACTCCCTCAGGCCCTCCTCAGTCAGACCCCACACCAGTGAGTTCACGCTATTTTTGCCTTCGTTGCCCTGGGCCACTCTCCCTGTTCTGATACTCGGTGCACTGAGAACAGCACCAGTGTGCTCTCTGGGCCCGGCGTGTCTTCGCTGTGTGTCTGCGTGGTTGTGTGCAGCAGCAGGCTGTTCTTGGCCATTGCTGCTTAGTGTCTCACCTCGTGAAGAAGCCCCATTCTTTGGGTCCTCTATTCGATTGGTAGCCTTTTGGGTTGTTCCCAATTCTTGGCTCTTCTGATTAAAACTGCTGCAGACATTCCTGTACTTTTCTGTAGAAGCACTCTTTTGCATGAGCACTATTTTTGTTGGAAGTAAGAGTGGGATTGCTGGGTCACGAAGTGAGTCTCTGTTAAGCGTTAGCAGCTTCTGCCAAACAGACCCCTGTTCTGGCTGCCACATTATCCCCTCGGGCCAGCAAGCAAGAGGGTTCCAAAGGCCCCAGGTCCCCCCCGGTCAGGTCAGATCCTGGGATTCAGCTATTGTAGGTCCCTGTCAGTCTCAGTATTCTGGCGGGGTTGTTTGAAAATAGTGTCTTAATAGAAAATGTGAGGTTTGGTAAGACCAACACATCAGGAGATGATGTCATTGAAAAGGTGGTTTTTAATTCCGTTCCCATGAGGAGGGGACACGCCACAGCCTGGGGCCACAGGGTGAGGCAACAGGCTGGCTACAGAGGCAGAGGGAGCGGGGGAACTGTGGGCAGGAGCCCTTCTTGCAGTTTCTGCAGGAATGAACAAGTGAGGCAGGGTACATGGATTTAGGATCGATGGGCTTGAATAATTTCAGGGCTCTGGGGCCAAGGGGTGTCCTCAGTTGTCTGGCGATCAGGGCAGGGGGATAGTGGCCCCAACTATGAAAGCTTGGATTGGTTGGTTGGCCCTTGAAAAGCACATTTGAGGGTGTGTCCTTTACTCTCTCTAGGAATTGGCTAGCCCTGGGAGGGACAGTCTGTCCAGTCAGAGGTCAGCTCAACCCCAGGGGTGAAAAGATCAGAATATGGAGAATAAAAGACAGGATTAATACAAGGGTGGGATAATATCTCATTATGGTCTTCATGACATTTTCATGATGACAAATACGATGGCCACTCAGATATCCTCTTTTGTGAGGTATCTATTCAATTTTTGTACATTTTTATTGGATTATTGGTCTTTTGCTTCTGGTTTTCTATTAGTTCTTTATATATCTGGATGCCAGTCCTTCATGTAAAAGTATAGTATGCATGTCTTTGCCCAGTCTGTGACTTGTCTTATTACTCTCTCAGTGTTATTCTTTGGAGTCGAATTAGCCAATCTTTGCTTTTATGGTTGGTGCATATTATGTCTTAATTAAGAAATCTTTGCCAATCCCAAAGTCACTGAAATATTCTCCTGTGTTTTCTTCTGGAAGCTTTCTAGTTTATCGGCTTAGACACGGTACAGGGGCTGGAGAGAATGGGTGGCCCCGGGGCTCAGGAGCTCCCCGCCACTCTCCTTTGCAAGGTCTGTATCTTCTGCTCATCCCTTAAGTGCACCATCCTCTGTCCTTCCTTCTCTACAACAGCCTGGCAACCCTCTCCCGTGGTTCTGTCCCCCACCTGCTCTTGATCTCCACGCCCCGGTGAGCATACCGCACCCCCCTCCTTCGATGACCTCCCCACCCAACCTCCCACGTTCCAAACTGATGCTTCTTGGGCTGAAAGGGGACCTGAGTGCTACCAGTTTCTGAACTCACTTTCATCTTTATGCATCATAGTCGTGCCTTGTGGAGAAGACCAGCCACCATTGGTGGGCCAGGCACAAGCCTCAGGTTAACTTTGATCCCTGCAACCCTGGCCAGTGGGCACTGTCATTTCCAGTTCATTGTTGAACAGATGCTCTAAGAGGTTAGCTATGCATGCTTCCCCTGCCTGCATTGCCCTCAGCCCTGGAGCTCCCGGCTTCGAGGATCCATGTTGGGGCAGTCCCTCAGAAGAGAGGTCTAGGATCACACTATCCTGGGTCCCTCCATCTATTAGCCATGTGACCAGGGCCACTGAGTACAGTAGGGCAGGTTGTGGGCTACACAAGGCATTCAGTTGAGAGAGTAAGTGGGGGCTAAAGTCCAGCCCACCCCACTGACTACATCCATCTGGAGGGCAGATTCTCAGGCACCTGTGGGCCAGCAGTGCCCTGCAGGTGACCTTGGATAGTAGCCAGTTCTCTAGGCTGCATGTTCCTCATTTGCTTTGCCAAGTGTTCAGTACAAGGCACAGGCCTAGTGAGTGTTTTGGTTGTCACTGTGGCCCTTCCTTTGGGAAGTCTTCCAGGGTTCCCCTCTGGGGCTCCCACAGAGCCCTGCACTTCTCACCTCTCCCTGTGAGGTAGGTCAGAGCCTGGAGTTAGGCAGGCCTCAGCCCGGGTTCCTAGGGGTGGAGCCCAGATGCCTCTGGCTATGAGCCTGCCCCACCTGCTTCTCAGCCTGCAGAACCTGCACCCAGGGCAAGGGCCCAGGCTGAAGGAGGCCAGGAGGGGCGATGAAAGCAGGTTTGGAAGTCAGTTGAGGTCGGGTCCCCTCCAGCAGGGGCTTCCAGGGCCCCACGCTGAGTGCTCAAAGCTCACAGTTTTTCCCACAACCCTGAGGGCCGGCCCAGAGGAGTCCCTGCCCCTGTGTGGTGCTCAGGGTCAGTCAGAGGTAGCTGCAGCATAGCTCTGAGGTATCACAGGATAGCACCATCACAGGATAGGACCATCAAGGACAAGAGCCAAGGGCAAATCTAGATAGGGGAGGTGGGCAGAAAAGGCCCTCTTAGAAAAATAAATGGTAAGTGGGGCAGGGCAACCCTAGCAATGGGAGCTGTGGGTGCAAAGGTCCTGCGGTAGGGTCAGCACCCAGAGAAACAGAAAGAGAGCTGGTAGGACAGGAGCGGAGTAACTTCAGGGGTAGCAGAGGGCGGTGAGGGGGCAGTAGGGGCCCTATAAGCTCCAGGGAGGAGGCTGAGTTCTATTCTAACTGAAACAACATGAACTAATTGAATTTTGAAACTTTCTCCTGACTGCTGTGTGACAGCTATGGGGCCAAGAGGGGGACTAGTGCCCTTGCCAGGTCAGCTGGTGGGAGGAGGAGGGGATGAGGGCATAGGGAACAGGAAGGTGCCCTGGTGATGCCGGGAGGCTTCACCATTGGGGGTGGGGTAAGACGACCACCAAACCTCTGCCCCCAGGCTGGGCAGCAGTGCCCTGACCCCACATCTCTCTGCAGGTCAAGCTCTATCTCCACTATGTATGAGGATCCAGACAGCGATGGGGAGGTCAGTGGCCCCACTCTGGGCGGGGCTGCAGGAGCTGGTCCCCCTGCACTGCCCAGCCAGGCTGCACACGTGGCTCTGCTTGCAGGAGCTGGAGCTGTACTTCACAGAGCCCCAGCAGCTCCTGGACGTCTTCATGAAGCTAGAGGAGCAGAACCTCTCACTCATCCAGAACACACAGGAGATGGAGGAGGCCCTGGATGATCTGAACTTCACCCTGAAAAACACCCAGATTCACATGTAGGTCTTCTGCCAGGGCTGACTGGGTGGGGGGAGGGGAGGGTTCCATCACTGGCGGTCATCCAGGGACCCCCATAACCACCAGGAGCAGAGCTGTACAGCCGCCTACCCTCCCATCTAAGGCCCTGGCCCTGCGCTACCTTCCACTTTTCTGGAAAGCTCTACTGGATGACTCTGGGGATAGGGCATGTCTTTTTGGGCAGAGGAGCTGGGGGGGTGGGAAGAGTTCAGGTAGGTGGAGCCACATGGGGCTGGTTCCCTCCTTCAGCCAGCAGGAGGCATCAAGGAGTTCCCACCCTGGTGCATTCTGCTGACACCAGGCCCAGCAGGGCTGGGCCGAGTCAGGCTGGGGCACTAGGTGAAGCCCATCAGGAGCAAGGAATCATCCCTTCACACCCAAACATGGGGTGAGCTCCTATTCTGGGTCAGGCCCAGGTCTAGGTTCTCTAAAGATAAGCAAGGCCCTGCCTCATGGAGCTGACATTTGGCCCACAGATGTGACTTGTAGATACTGACATGTGCCAGAGGAAAACAGACAGTGATATGAGAAGGAGGCTGAAGTGGAGGGGCAGGGCAGGCTTCTAGGGGAAAGCCTCATTCGACCTGGGCACTTCTTGAGCATGGGAAGCTGCACAGAGATCTGGTGGAAGAGGGTTCCAGGCAGCGGGAGAGCAAGTGCAAAGACCTAAGGTGGAAGCCAGCCCAAGGCTTTGATGCCCCCTAGGGAGTCATGTTCTTAAGTACCCATGTCTTGTTGTCCCACATCCTGCCATGGAGAATCTCCTGCCCTGAGTCTCCTGCAGGTGATGCAAACTACCAGCGCTCTCAGGCAAGATTGTGTCTCCTAGAAAGCTGGGAGTCACCCTGAAAAAACACCCAGATCTGCATGTAGGTCTCCTGCCAGGGCTGACCGGGTTGGGGGAGGGGAGGGTTCCATCACTGACATTTTTCAGGGTGACTCCCTTCCATCTCAGACAGAGAGAGAGAGAGAGAGAGATGAGCTAGGGAGATGCAGGCAGCCTCCCAGATTCCAGGAACCTGGCAAGAGGACACACACATATACACACATGTATAGCAGAATCCTGGAGATGCGCTCCAGTCGCTGGTCTTTAGCCGGCTGAGCCATCCCTGAGGACCAACGCTTCATTTTTATTTCCAGGAGAGTCATGGCCTGTATGCATTAACTGCCATGAACTCAACTGCCCTATCTCAGCAAGAAAAGAAAAGAAAGGAAAGGAAAGGAAAGGGAAGGGAAGGGAAGGGAAGAAGGGAAGGGAAAAGAAAAAAATTATATATATATATAT